GAACAGTTATATGGCTGACAGGGTCTTGTGGGGTGACAGTACTACTCCTAGGTCAGGTAGTAGAGGTAGTTAGTACTTTAAATGGTATGTTCTGATCGGTCGTCAAAGTTCTGAGGGACACAGACGGCACGTAGTGTGTTCATGAGGGGCCACCTATAGAGCCAACTGTGTGGCACTCTTTTTCCTGGCACTGCCCGCTGACTCTCGTTTTTTGTTAATCGTCTCACAGTACTCGACTTTAAGAGGTTTATCTCGGTATCCGATTTTTCGCCAGTTTAAAAAAAAAACTTCTAACAAAATCTACATCGACTGTAGTAACCAAAAGTACAAAATGCCTGAGACAAGTTTATCACATCAAATAAAACTTCATTGTATCAACAATCTACTCAACGTCTATCAAATGGTCTTCAGATGATCTATGGATTAGGAAGGTATAAAGGAAATAAATATACAAAAGCCGATGATGGGAAAAATAAAATAGTTTGGACAAGTCAGCTTTCAGCGAGGTACAACAATGAATATTAAACAGATTAGGCTGGTGCCGGCACTGGCAGGGGAGGAGTGACGTCACGGCAGGAGATGATAAAGAGGGCGTCACCCCAGCACTCGTGGCTGCCACTCACCCCCTACGCCTCCTGCTGTTTCCCCCCTTTCTCTCCCTCTCCTACCTCTTCCTCTTTCTCTCTTCTTCCTCTCCTTTTCTTCCTCCCCCTCTTCCTTTTCTCCCTCCTCCCTTCAATTTTTCCTGTATGCATTGTTATTTTATGTTTTGGCATCCACCATTTCCCCTGCTGCAGCTGAAACACCCAACCCGTCCAGTGTTAACCCTGTGCTCTCTCTCTCTCTTGCTATTTTATCCTGTAACACATCGCCAATTAGTTTGTCCTTTACTGTAACTCTCCCTGCATCCACTCAACCTGACTCTCCCGGCATCTACTCGATCTTTCTTTCCCTGCATCTGCCCCGCCCCGTCTCCCTTCATCTACTTCACCCTTCTTTCCCTGCATCTACTCCACCCTTCTCTACCTGCATCTACCCCACCCTTCTCTCCCTGCATCTACTCCACCCTTCTCTCCCTGCGTCTACCCCACCCTTCTCTCCCTGTATCTACTCATCCCCTTCTCTCCCTGCATCTACTCCACCCTTCTCTCCCTGTATCTACTCCTCCCTGCATCTCATGCACCCCGTGACGAAGGTTTACTGTGTGTGTTCGGGGGCGCTGCTCAGGTTATTCTCTCCTTGTGGTACTTAAGAGATGGCTGGAGGCTGGTGTGTTACTGCCGCTCATGCTAATAAGATACACTTTTTCTTTCCCGCCCTCACTGCTGGTCTTATTATGAACTGCTGTCTAACACTAATACCGCCATTACTACCATCGTAATCACTAACTACTACTACTACTACTACTACTACTACTAGTACTACCACCTATATTTTCACGTAAAATTTTCAAGGACTTCCATGTACCTGTACAAACTCCTTAATTATTACCCAAAAGATCTCAGCAGAAATTAAAATATTTCGATAAAAATATTAAAAATAAATGATCTCACCATTATATAAGGGACGAGTATAATGCAAGCCGTAAGTAAGAACAATCTGATAATTACCTCCAACGTGGCGAAATGGACCAAGAAAATTAGTGTCCCCCATCTTCCACGAAATGGATCGTATCTCACAGAAAACGGAACGCGTAAAGACAGGTAATGCCTTCCAAATGATCTCTGGGGTTCATTTGTTTGTTGCAAGCAAGTTTTCCCATTTGTAGAAATGGGCAACACATTAAGCTGATGTACAAACCTGGAGCGGACCACACGCGGAGCCAAGACCAGCCATCAGTAGCAGCACCGCTCTTACCCTCTCCATAATTATTTCATTTATCGCCTCATTTCCATTATTCGGTGTTTTCATGGTTTTTGTGTGGCAGTTTTCTCCTCCAGCGACTGCCACATGAACACCAATAATTACACTACTTGTATCGGTAATCTGGGCTTCTTTTTTAACCCACAAGTTCAGTGTATTAACATTGGTTTTCCCGGGGGCAGTCTTCGTGTGTCTCTCTTTAACCCACCTCCTAGCCTAACCTAACCTAATCCAACTTAACCTAATATAAATTATCCCAACCTAACATACCCCAACCTAACCTAAACTAACTGACTAACCCAACCTAACCCACCGTAACCTAACCTAACCTAACCCAACCTCAAATACTTGGGGGGTTTTATCATATCACATTACCATTCTAAAAAAAAGGGCTGGGTAACAACATGCAGAGATACTCATACTAATAATAATAATAATAATAATAACAATAATAATAATAATAACTGAGAAAGATAATCATTCTACATAATAAATCATTACAGATATGATTATTTAAAAGTCGATTGTGATATTACGATAGGTAACACACACACACACACACACACACACACACACACACACACACACACACACACACACACACACACACACACGTATAGACAAATAAAAAAAGTGAGAGAAAATTAAACACTTCATGTGATGTTGACAATGACAAACACACAAGACTACAGGGACACGAAAGGAGGAGGAGGGGGAAGAGGAGGAGGAGTCAGTCCAAATAAAATATTATAAGAAATATTGGCAAAGACATCCTAATTATAAACTTTAGTTTTCAATTGTCAATGGAAAATTTATAGGACATTCCTTAATTTTCCCCTTTATTCTGCCTGAACTGTTGAAAATACTCTCCCAACATTTTTCAAGTTTTGCTGTTCAATGCACTTGTTCAACTTATATCCATCTGTTCAACACACACACACACCCTAACACTCTACCCTCCATTCACTCGGTTCAACACTCCCTAACTTTCCTCCAGGTACCGGCGCATTGGCTCAACACGCACCCACAAGCTTTCTACCATCTCTCTGTTCAATACTACGAAACTCTCCACCTGATGCTGTTCCACTGTTCAACACGCGGCTCAGTTAGACTCTCAACCCGATCTTGACACTCTAGAGAACAACAGACTCTCACGTTGATCAATACTATGCATCACCAAACCCTTTGTTCAACTTGCTTGCCATTCAGTCACACTCCTGAACACATTCCCACGTAGTTCAACACTCTCCACCATTAAAACTCTCCATTCAACTCTCCTTACATTGAATCATTGTCCCCAGCACGCCAGCCACCTTGTTCACCATCTCTTCCTATCCTACCTCCACTGTTCAACACACTCCGCGGAAAGTAAGTGCCTACGATTACCCACTGAGTGCGTTCAACGTTCATCACTACGGCGTTTATGGCCGAGTCTTCCCGCAAAGTTCAGACAACGACCCTGAAATGACTTTACTGTAAACTTAATAAAACTTCAAGAGATCGAAAAGGAATGGACCGCAAAATATGGTGGTGTAAGATCATTAGAGAAAGAAAGAAAGAAAGAAAGAAAATATCTCTGACATAATTACACAGACAAGACATAAAGACAAAGACACATAAAGACACAGATAGACAGAGAGACAGACAGGCACAAACAACATAATATCACAAGCTGCCGCCACACCAACACACACACATACTGTCTCGCTGTGAAGTATAGTATATATCCCGCTTTAAAATTACTCGGGCAACACGCTGTAAGTCATAGTTACGAAACAACTGTGTGGTCAGCTGACAGCCCAGTGGTTTGTTTACATCCTATCATGAATCACTGAGGCATTTGCTTCACACGCTCAGAGACAGATCCAATACAGTATTCCTCATTTTCTCACAGGCAACACCCGTGAATACTGATGTAGGAGACTTCCGTGTGTGTGTGTGTGTGTGTGTGTGTGTGTGTCAGTTAGCCATAAATTTATCATACTCTTAATAGGCCACACGCGTAATAGATTCAAACTAAATATAATTAAATCCATCAGAACTCCAATCTTAGGGTTAGATTAGGTGAGGTTACGTTAGGTTAAGGGTCTACAGTATTACAACAGGGGTACCCATTTGACCTGTAACCAAAATTTTACATCACCTTTCGCCTGGGTGGTGGCGGGGCGGGGGTCCTGGGAGCGGACGCTGCACTAAACCATTATTCTTTGCACATACCTGAGAGAGAGAGAAATAGATTAAACATTAAACACTATATCACCTGAAAGAAGAAAACAAAAATATACAGTTTACGTATCCATTTACAAAGCGCATTTAATATATATCATAAGCACATTAAGAAAGGCTGCAGTTCTCTCTTAGCTCGTCTGCAATACAAATAAAGTGCTAATGATAACTACATTAGGACGCAACGTTTAAAGTCCTAATTACCCGGTTCTCATGCACTCTCTCTCTCCTTCAGTGGTGGAGTATCTTCCACTCTCCAGCACCCTGGCGTAAGGCTCATCCCCAAACACACACTCCAACAGGAACTAAGGCCCCTACTGCCCTCAGCTGCTTCACCTCGGAACTAAAACTCCAGAATTAATGTTCCTCGTCTTTGATTTTCTCGTCGTGCTGCTGCCCAAGTTTGTAAGTTCATGGCGAGATGGAGGAAAGAGTAGCGCTGGGGGGACATGCAGAAGGAGGTGTAAAATACGATAATTTCAGATTAATTCTCGAAAAAAAAGGAAAGATTTCGTTAAAATACGATAACCTCGTACTAATTCTCAAGAAACGGGGAAATTCTTAAATAACGATAATTTCATACTAATTCTTGCAAAAAAAATAGTAAGAGAAGCCTCGGAAACACCTTATATGCACTTCATGCAAACGGCTTGTATCGGGTACCAGAATGTAACCCAAAAAAATGGATATCCCTTATTTACATTTAAATGAACGTATAAGTACTTTATGCAAATAATCTTTATTGGGTCTTTAATAAAGCTTTAGAAATCTTTTAACAAGTTATAAGGCAGAATAGAGTTACATGTCTTGTATCGACACGCGACACCATTACGTGATAGACGTTACAAAAAACTGTCCACACGCGCGCGATACAGTAATTCATAAAATAAGTAGGATATTCTAACACTTTATCACTCAAATGTCCTCAATTTTGTGTAGGCGCGAAATTTAGGACATAACTTAGGACACCGCAAGGCCTGGTTGGTGGTAGTGGTAGGCTCAGGACACCGCAAGGCCTGGTTGGTGGCAGTGGTAGGCTCAGGACACCGCAAGGCCTGGTTGGTGGTAGTGGTAGGCTCAGGACACCGCAAGGCCTGGTTGGTGGTAGTGGTAGGCTCAGGACACCGCAAGGCCTGGTTGGTGGTAGTGGTAGGCTCAGGACACCGCAAGGCCTGGTTGGTGGCAGTGGTAGGCTCAGGACACCGCAAGGCCTGGTTGGTGGTAGTGGTAGGCTCAGGACACCGCAAGGCCTGGTTGGGTGGTGGTAGGCACCACAAGGCCTGGTTGGTGGCAGTGGTAGGCTCAGGACACCGCAAGGCCTGGTTGGTGGTAGTGGTAGGCTCAGGACACCGCAAGGCCTGGTTGGTGGTAGTGGTAGGCTTAGAAAGAAACTGACCCTCCACATCACCCCCACACTCCCTTAACACGCCACACTCCCCCATCACCCCATACTCCACCATCACCCCACACTCCACCACCATCTTCCCACACCCAACACCCCACAACTCCCCCATCACCCCACACTCCATCATCACCTCACACACACACACACACCACCATCCCACCAAACTCCCCACCACCACTGCTAGGAAAACCACCAGTACCACCTTAGTTGTATCCCCAAAATGCAGAGCGAGGCGGGTTAAGCTCTTATGGAGATAGAGACAAAGCCTTGGCGTTGCTCTCTTTCTCACCCACGTAGCCAAGCAGGAAATAAGATATTCTCCCGGAATGCATTATAATGTTTTGTTTTCCTCGCCAGGGTTTCAGCAGGTGTAGATCCTCCCTGGGAACCTCTTAAAATTTTGGGGGATCTTCTTTGCATTGTTGCCACTGACGTACAGCCAAGTAGTGGCGGGGGTCTTGTCTTGTGCTTCGAGAGACCAACTCGTCTGGCAGTTTGGTTTATATCGCGTTTCTCTCTCTCTTCGTTGTTGAGGTCTCAAATTTAAGGAAAATACAACTCTTGAAATGGCAAAATTTTTAAAAAAGAGTTAACACTTTGTCTGCCCTTTGAAATCTCTCAAGTTTACGGGCAGCGTATCTCTTTAAGTATTAGAAAGTCACCACACAAAATCTGGCGTCTGCTTGAAGCCTATATTTCTAAACACAAACTTCACGCCAGGTAATACCGACAACAGCTTCAGCACTCTTAATATCGTTAGCTTCTTTCAGTCGCGGTAATTATGTTTTCTTTGTTAATGAAGAGTTAGATCCTATTTTAATAAAACCAATCAATTAAGGTTGCGTTATACAAGCAGTTCTTTTTTTTTAATAACTTGATACAGATTACGTTACACAAGCATTCTGTTAACTTTATTCTCGAGCAGAACGACTAAATAAAAAACAATTTTCGTTTATTATTTCATAAACATTATAATGTGTGCAAATAATCACACTAATAGGATGAAATAATGCGGTATAACTCAATTAATCTTTAATACCGCTACCGACGTGAAAATCTTCCAATCGTTACCAAATAAGACTGGAATATTAAACGTACTGTAGTTGTAAAAAACACAAAAAAAAAACCGCTACATTCTTTTCAGGAACCCAAAATCACGGTAATATTTATGGGCCACAAGTCTCTAGTCACAGAGTAGAAAGCGTTAGGTTCGTATCCCGGGTAGACAAACAAGTAGGATACGCGTGTTGGCCATGTCCCGGGTTAAGTCAACACAGATATAACGTGTTTTGTTCGTACGTCAGGCAAGAAAGAAAGGATTGGGAGGTTTTTGTTCGTAGACAATTTATGGTAAACAAGAAAGGTCATGCTTTTTTGTTGGTGTATCAGACAATCCAAACTATAAATGGAGGTTTTGTGCTTGTGTGTGCGATAGACAGGACAGTAGCTACCAAGAATTTGTTGGTTTTGTTTATATAAGCAAAAAAAAAAGACTAAAAAAGTTTTTGTCTTGTACAAATTTAAGTTCACCAAAATTTGCCTGACCTAACCTAATCTAATCTAACATATCCTAACCTAATCTAACCTAATCTAACCTAACCTAACGTAACCTAGCCTCTTCGGGTGTGCAGTACTATTAACAAACAAAAGTAGAACGTCTACTGTTATTGTTAGTTTCCTTTTTTTACTTTAAATCAATTTGGAAGATATAAATAAAAGTAGGAAGAATTTTACAGAACTTTAAAAAACAAAACCAAAGTAAAAAACTTTTCATGGCATTAAATAAGGCAGAAGTGAGATATACTTCCTTATCTCTGAATAGGTAAATATTACTTTCCAAACCTTAAAATAACAAACTAAAAAGTACTCTCCTAACAATCAACAACAAAAAAGTACCAAATCCAGTTACGTTCTTTCCTAACTCCTAACAACAAACACCAAGCAGAAAAAAAATGTGCTCTCCCCACCCCCCCGGCCCTGCCCACCCCCCGGCCCGCCCCACCCCCCGGCCCGCCCCACTCCCCGGCCCTCCCCACCCCGGCCCTCTCCACCCCCCCCGGCTCTCCCCACCCAACACAGAAGAACTTTAAATAACAATATAACACAAAATACAAACTTCACACCACCAAAACAAAAGTTGGGACGTTCTTCTCCTAACTTCAAATAACAAATACTGGAGGAAGGACGTGATTTCTTTAAAAGCCTAAGATAAGAGACGTGCCTCGTTTGCAATCCTAGATAAGGTATATAGGAAGAAAGGTTGGTGCTCTCTCTCTCTCTCTCTCTCTCTCTCTCTCTCTCTCTCTCTCTCTAAGATAAGGTGAGTGAGGGGGTTGGGTCGTGCACGTGCTAGTACTGGTGGTGGTGGTGGTGCTACTGGGCATACTGGTGTTAGTTGTAGTAATACGAGTGGTGGTGGTAGTACTGGTGTTAGAGTTTAATGCTGCTACAGATGTTAGTAGCTGAAGGCTGCTAATTGCACTATGGCTAGACTGGCTGTAGCGGTGGCTGTAATAAAGTTGTTGGTAGCACCATGTTGCTAGTACCGGTACTAGTAGTGAAAAAAATTGCACCTGCTACTACTAGCAAGGGTGGCGGGAGTGTAGACGACCTCGCGAGCCAACACACACACACACACACACCGGGACAAGTCAGTTGTATTATTTATATAGGCTCCCCACCCCCTTATCCCTCCCTCTTCCCTAAATTTGCATAACGACAGCTCGTAAGTTACCGGAGAGGTGTATAGGGATGGGAATTTTTGCGGGAGTTGCTGTTTTTGTGTTTGTTGAGTGTGTTTGTTTAGAGAGGATACATATGTGTCAAGTCGTTAGGTGTGTGTGTGTGTGTGTGTGTGTGTGTGTGTGTGTGTGTGTGTGTGTGTGTGTGTGTGTGTGTGTGTGCGTGCGTGCGTGTGCGTGTGCGCCGTTATGAGTATACGTGTTTATCAATGGGCGTATACTTGGACGTAAGTCGTGCATTTTGTGTTTGTACATGAGAGAGAGAGAGAGAGAGAGAGAGAGAGAGAGAGAGAGAGAGAGAGAGAGAGAGAGAGAGAGATGCTCTACCTGACGCTCCCCAACATTATACCTCCTACAGTTGTTTACAAGTGTCTCAGTGTTTTTGCATACATATGTGTGTGTGAGTGTGTGGTATATTTTTTCGGTAGTATATACTTTTTAAATGTTTATTTTTTTGGTGGGAATATATTAAATATATTCCTATTTTTTGGCGGGAATAATCTTCATACATGGATTTATTGGTGCTAATATTTTTTGTGTGTATTTTGTCTGTGAATATCCTTTATTTATCTGTATATCTTAGGCGTTGATGTATTTTTCAAGGTTACACAGGCCTACCTACCATCTGTTTACGTGGTACATAGATGCATGGGTCGGATGGCTTAATTTACCCGGGATGTGTTCACCAAAACTCGGGAAGATAATGTTTCTTAGACTGTACATTGTGTATTCTATTGTTCTGTTATTTGTGTCGATTTACTCTCCTCAGCCTCTTTTCAAGTATATGATTGCTAAATATATTTTTAGGGATGTCCTTTCTATTTTTTATATATATTTTTTTTTTATTCTGGAAAAACTTACATCCCTTTCTGTGAACTTGCAATCTGTATGTTTGGTGATGTATGAATGTTTGTATGACCGGTAAAGCATTGTCACCCCTCAGTACACAATACACATCTTCTGATTACTCACAACCTTCTGCGTTCTTAAGACACAACAAGACAGAAGAGGATAAGGGAGATTAATGATAAGAAGACCTGAAGTTTTGAGGATATTTTTAGATACCTGTGCTTCTCAACTCGACTTGACCAGAGCTGCCCAGCCAAACATGGAGCACACTGATTCACACAAAGTAAAAGCTCGGATGAGGTTTTTGGCCAGGGATTTTGTATCCAACTGAGAAAAAACACACCCGGGAAACACCAAATGCTTTCTCGTTGCAGCGTTGAGAAAAAACACACCCGGGAAACACCAAATGCTTTCTCGTTGCAGCGTTAACGTTCCACATTTTGGCAAAATATACTTCTAGGTACACTGAGCAATAGCATGTTCAGAAATGTGCAATGTGCAAGGGGTCGAATGTGTTATTACAGTATTCAAGGTAATGTAGTTGCTTATACGTGACCTGTACTACTGTATGAGTAATGCATAATTAGAGGTACAACAGACACATGGACGTAATATGTCTTAAGAGAAACAGACTGAGATACCGACTCGGCATTATATAAGATAAACAACCCAGAGAGAGAGAGAGAGAGAGAGAGAGAGAGAGAGAGAGAGAGAGAGAGAGAGAGAGAGAGAGAGAGAGAGAGAGAGAGAGAGAGAGAGAGAGAATGTTATCAGGATAGAGTGCCACAGTTCTAAGCATAAGAACATGTAAAACAGGAAACACTAACACAAAGGCGCCCTCTGGATCCATCACTGGTATATGTTCAATGTTTCTCATAATGTATATATAACTCAGTTTCTCCTCTCCTGAGAATTCGTAACGTCATACGCTGTTGAAAGTCGTGTTAAACTTCTTCAAGTCTGAGGAGCTTTTGTATGCTTGTCAGATTTACATTAAAGTCCCTCGATACTGCAGTCATGCATGATGCAGTGAAAGTTGGTTAAAATACACATAAACTCTCTCGAGAAACGTGATTGTATTATATGAAACACAAAGTATAAAACGCTAACATGGGTGCTCTCTGAATATTACTGCAACTGATAAATGTCTAAATGTGTTGCTGTGTTGGTATTTTCCTCCGGCACAAGTAATGTGTTGATATACGAGGCTACGCCACCATAAACAACATTTGTGCTGGACTGTGCTGTCTGCCCCATTAATACACAATCAATACAAAGTTTACATTTCCCACAGTTTCAGGGGTTGGGCATGATACAATACACACCTACAGTATGTCTGTCAAGTTTCATAACGCTGTACGAAACTTTACAAGATGAGTCGGTTACTAAACGTTAGTTGTACACTGCGTTAATGCGGAGTTGGATGGATCTGTTGGGCATCTCCTAT